AACACACTACTAACCCATAAGAGAGTCCTGGACTTAACAAAATATTTCTGTACATTCCATTTTTTCTTCACTATATTCATTAGATTTATTATTATGCCACATTACAATTAGAAATAAGAAAATGGGCTCAGGGAGATTCAATTTTTCAGAATTATATAACAATTAACTTAAAAGCTTTGTACATACATATCTATGAATTATGTAAACATGGACCCATGCAATATGTATTCTTAATTTTGTAAAGCCCCTTTAATTCAGCAAACTGTACACTTTAAACATGAGTGAGAAAAAAATCTAATGATGAATGGTTCAAGGTAAGATGTACAATGGAGGTAGCTGAGTCACACTTTAACAGGGGAGGCAGAAATGTCACTGGGTAGGGAGCAATGTGTGTTAAATGGATATAAAAAAGTAGAATTAATATAAGGCAAATCACATATTTTTTGTAAACTAAAAGATTAGCTTACATATATAAATAAACTGATGTAAAGACAGGATGCAGGTGAGCCTTACATAACTTCATGGATGAGCTATAGACACTCAACGAAGAGACTCACAGCTGATGCAGACTCAGGAAATTCAGGGCACAGATCAGAACAATTCCCATCACATAAACCCATTTGAGAAAAAAGGTATTATAATAATATAGCATTTAGGACAAGTTGTTAGACAGCATTAGCTAATTGGTACAATAATCCAGGCAAACAAAACTGAGGGCAATTATTAATAACCCTCCATTTCTTAATTTTTGGTATGTGTTCTGAGATTTGGAGGCAGCATTTGTGATCATTCGATTATTGGAGTTTATTTTGGGTAACTGGATTAACAACTGACTCTATTTAGGTTCCTTCCAAGTAATGTGGATAGGTTGGAAGGATTTGCATGTTTAGCATAAAACTGGTGACCTTGCATCACAGGCCTTGGAAGCAATTCAAGCTCTCTTGTGCATCACTCTCTGGTCATGGAGATGGAAGAGATTCCAGCACATGAGGAGATATGAATCAATGATATTGACATAGTTCATTTGCTGTCTATTTAATAATTAGGCCAAATTTTAGAGTAGTGGAGATATTTTGCTTAGAGCTACAGAGGAATCATATTTGTACACAGCACGATAATTTTGAACAACAAACTCATATAATTGAGTAATAAAATTTGAAATATACTAACCATCCTTTACCTCAATGAAAACAGGCTGTTGCACACAGAACCCATTTTCTATACAACTGGAGTAGATTACAGCATGAAAAAATATTTTGCAGAGTAATCAGATAAGTAATGCTTTTCCACTTTTAAGTTTAATTTTGACTGAAGCTCATATTAGATCAGTTTTTAATATATTTTATTGATTATGCTATTACAGTTATCCCTCCTTCATTCCCCTCCACCTTGCACACTCTCTCCCACCCACATTCCCCATCTTTAGTTTATGTCCATGTATCATAAGTTCTTTAGCTTCTAGATTTCCCATACTATTCTTGCCCCCACCCCGTCTATTTTCTACCTACCATCTTTGCTACTTATTCTCTGTACCTTTTCCCCCTCTCTCATCCTCCCACTCCCCTGTTGCTACCCCTCCATGTCATCTCCATTTCTGTGGTTCTGTTCCTCTTCTAGTTGTTTGCTTTTGTTTTTGTTTTAGGTGTGGTTGTTAATAATTATGAGTTTTCTGTCATTTTTCTAACATGTTTTTTATCTTCTTTTTCTTAGATAAGTCCTTTTAACATTTCATAAAATAAGGGCTTGGTGATGATGAACTCCTTTAACTTGACCTTATCTGAGAAGCACTTTAGCTGCCCTTCCATTCTAAATGAAAGCTTTGCTGGATAGAGTAATCTTGGATGTAGGTCCTTGCCTTTCATGACTTGGAATACTTTTTTCTAGCCCCCTCTTGCCTGCAAGGTCTTTTTTGAGAAATCAGCTGACAGTCTGATGGGAACTCCTTTGTAGGTAACTGTCTCCTTATCTCTTGCTGCTTCTAGGATTCTTTCCTTCATTTTTACCTTGGCTAATGCAATCATGATGTGCCTTGGTGTGTTCCTTCTTGGGTCCAACTTCTTTGGGGTTCTCTGAGCTTCCTGGACTTCCTGGAAGTCTATTTCCTTTGTCAGATTGGGGAAGCTCTCCTTTATTATTTGTTCAAATAACTTTTCCACTTGTTGCTCTTCTTCTTCTCCTTCTGGTACCCCTATAATTCAGATGCTGGGACATTTAAAGATGTCCTGGAGGTTCCTAAGCCTCTCCTCTTTTTTCTGAATTCTTATTTCTTCATTCTTTTCTGATTGTATGCTTTTTTTCTCTTCCTTCTGGTCCACTCCATTGATGTGAGACCCAGTTTTCTTTCCATCACTATTGGTTCCCTGCGCATTTTTCTTCATTTAATTTATTGTAGCTGTAAGGTTTCCTTAAACTCACCCAAGGAATGAAAAGCCAATTAGCCATGAAATCAGGCAGAAGAGCTTTATTTTTGGGGTTTGTGCTTTCAGGCGAGGTTTTTTCCACCCACACAGAGGAAGGGGTGAGAAAAGCTCGCGAGGGAGAAGGGAAAGGTTGCGGGGAGGGCGTATTTTGGGTTGGCTCTCTGTGGGAGCTGGGGATTTGTTCCTTGTGAACAAAGAAGCAACACATCTTTGGTGGTACCTGGTCTGACGTTAGCCATCTCTTCCAGGTTATAGGTCAGCTGCAATCTTTCCTGTAGTCCAAACAGCGGCCATATTTCTTGTCAGCCATATTTGTAGTCCAGAACACTATAATTGTTTGTAATTAGGTTTCCTTTTGTCCTACCCCACCCACCCTGACAGTAGCCTTCATTTTTTCAACTAATTTGTGACCAAAATCAACCAATTCTGTGAGCATCCTGATCACCAGTGTTTTGAATTGTGCATCTGATAGGTTGGCTATCTCTCAATTGCTTAAAAGGATTGGTTCTAGGGCTTTCATTTCTTCTTCTGTTTAAGCCATCTTTTTTGGGGGGGAGGGGTATCTGGTCCCACCTGTTATGTATGAGGGGTGGAGCCTTAGGTGTTCACCAGGGTGGGGCAACCCAGCCACTGGGTTGTGACGCTATATGTAAGGGTGGGTTCCAAGAGTGAACAGTGGCACTTGCTCCACTCTCTGTGGGACTTCAGTCCCTTACACTGCTTCCCCCAAGTAAACTGGACCTTTCTGGTGTTGATTCCTGTGTGGGTGGGCTTGTGCACTCCATGGGGGTCTTTCCAACGACATCTCCTGTGAGGCTGGGAGTCTTTCCCTGTGTCTCAACCCCCACAGGTGTTTTCAATCAGTGTCCCAAGGCTCTATTTCCCAGAGCTGGGATCCTGGGTTGCGCACAGTGCCTTGCTTCACAATCGCCACCTCACTGGGTCTGCCAGTTGTCACCCCTTGGCCGGGGTTTGCCAGCTACCGTTTGCATGCCCAGGGTCCACCCGCTGTGGTTTTATGAGCCCAGTCCCAGTGCTCTTTGTGCTGTGCAACCCCTCTCTGCCCAGCTGCCCGACTCCACCCCTCCTATCGGTCTGGATGAATGTGTCTATTTTGACTCTTTGGTTGTCTGACTTCCATACAGTTCAATCTCCTGTCAGCTCTGGTTGTTATTCTGTTTCTAAGTTGTTTTTGTCCCTGTCTTGGTTGTATGAAGAGGCCCAGTGTGTCTACCTATGCCTCCATCTTGTTCAGAAGTCACAGATCAATCTGTTTGACAAAGTTGTCTTTCCATGTGGACCCTGCCTGGAGATACGTATTTGATAATCAATGTTTGCCAGGGACAATGGTAGGCATTGTGGACACTGAACTGAGAGAATAAAAGCAGGCATCCAGTTAAAAATAAGCAGGCAGTGAAAGACAAATACCGTATGATCTCACCTATATGTGGAACTTAATCAACAAAACAAACAAGCAAGCAAAATATAACCAGAGACATTGAAATTAGGATCAACCTGACAGTAACCAGACAGTTGATGGGAGGGGATAATTGGGGGGGTGAGGATGGAGAGGGTAAGGGTTTCCAGGAACAAGTATAAAGGACACATGGACAAAACCAAGGGTGGTGGAAGCAGGGGAAGGAAGTGGGGATGGCTGGGGTGTGGAAGGTGTGGTGAGGGGTAAAGGCAGACAATTGTACTTGAACAACAACAAAATAATTTTTAAAAAATAAAAGAAAAAACTGACATTAACCAGAGGGGAGGTGGGAGGAAAATAATGGGAAAAGATAAAGGAGGGTCATCAAGGAACATATATAAGGGACCCATGTCAAAACCAAAGGGGGGAACAATTGGAGGTTCAAGGTGGGGGTAGGTGGGGTGGGAGAAAGTGATGGTAGGGCAAATGGAGACAAATGTACTTGAACAACAATAAAAAAAGAAAATCATTTAAAAATCCATTTGACCAGAAAAAAATCTGCAGAATGTGAAAGCCCACATTATCGGGAATAATAGTTAAGGGAATGAAGTAGACTAGAAGGACAGACCAAAGTGGAAACTTTATTTCACATTTTTCTGTGAAAACATCACATGAACAGACTTAGTTAACAAGTGGAGTTTATTTCATGTGGGTAATACAATTCATGAATATTCTTTCAGTAACATGAAAGAAAATTCTTGAGATCCTATGTGCCATTTGAGAAGAAAGTATTCTTAGGAAGTCCATATGGCCCCAGGAAATAAATGGGAATTTCCAAATATTTTTTACTGAAACTTGGGAAAAGCTTTCTGAAAGTGAGATAATGGACAAAAGAGAAAAAGTCTATATATTAGAGCAGAACACATGATAAACTGGAGTATTTCTATTTTTAGAAAACTTGAATTCAAATAAATAGAAATTCTAGTAAATAAGTAAAAGAGGCACATTAAACTTTCTGAGCCCACTGACATCCCTCTTCACAGAATGGTGCATGGCTAGCTTCACCTTGTACTTGACTCTGAAGTCTTCAGCAGCAAGATGGGCATTACCAATCTGGAGAGCGATGCAGGCATTCCCCACAGAAGTTGCAAAGACCTGAGCCCTCAGGTTCTTGATGGTCTTGAAATGATGCCCCCCAGTCTCTGTCTGTTCTGGGGTCCCTTCTTCTCCAGGTGTTTCTGGAATTTGCTTTCCCATCTCCAGTTATCAGCCTCCAAGCTTCTCACTGTCTCCAGGTAGAAGGCCAGGTGGTCATACAGACATTGCATAGTCTCCTTCTGGCTCTGGATGCCCTCTATGCCTGCCAGACCCCTAGTCATCCCTGCAGCCAGGACCCACACATCCACAGCTGGCCCACACGCTAGTAGTGTGGGAGATGGAGATCTGAGATCCTGAGTCCCCAGAGCCTGAACAGACCCTGGTTGAGTTGCTGGCTGGCTGGGCTGGTGGCTGTGCAACTGAGGAAGCCCAGGGTCTGGTGGTTTGTGGAGAATCTGGAACAGGTTCTGAAGCTCATGTTGTTCAGGGCCAAAGGCCAAAGTCCTAACCAAAATATTTCTTTAAAAATTATTTATTAATTTAGATGTGAAGAGGAAGATGGAAAGAGAGAGAACGAGAGGAGGGGGTGGTGAGACAGGGAGAGAAATACCAATCTGGTTTTCCACTTTTTGATGCATTCATTTGGTGTTTCTGTTAGTGCCCTCAATAGAAAAATACAAGACAACCTGAAAACAATTAATTAAATGGCAATAACTACATACCTATTAACAATTACTTTGAATGGAAAAGGATTAAATGTTCCAATGATATGACAAATGGATAAAAAGATGTGATAAATATATGCTATAGAATATTAGTCAGCCCCCAAAAGTATGTGATCTTGCCATTGTGACAACATGGATGGACTTAGTGGGTATAAAGCTAAGGGGAATAAGTGAGACCAAGAACAAAAATTAGAATAACAACTGAAGGAGATATCCAGGGACAGCAGATCCCTGGAAGTATCAAACAGGCTGCTTAAGGTCAGATGGGGTCAACATCTGACTTCACTAGAGGCAGACGCTAAAAAAAACAACAACAACATAATTACAAGAGGCTACTGAGTTGAAAGCCACTGTGGTCTCCTCCATGATTTGCGATATTTTCTTACCTGCATAGCTTTTTAACATTCATTTCTTGTCCAGCAGGTTTGTACATATTGTCACTAGATTTTATACTATAGTGTATTTCAACTCACATATTTTGCCTCTCCCTCTTCTTAGACCATTTTCCCTTCCCCTTTCCTCTCATTATTTACATTTCAAATTTTTTCTCTCTTGCTACAACTTGTTTCCATTCCACACTCTTACTATTTCTCCCCCGTCCAGACACACAAAACCAATTTTCTTGTTAAGAGTCATCTCACATTCTTTTCACCTGCTCTTAAAATACTCACATTCTCTCTCCACCTTTAACAATCTTTGCTAGTTGGTTGTGGGTAGGGTAGTTGTCATTGCATTATTTATTCAATTTTATCTCTAGAGCTTCACTAATTCTGTGTTTCAAATATCAAATTTTATTGGCCCATTCTACTACTCTTTTTTTCTCTTAAATTTTAATTTTTCTGTCTTAGCCTGTTTGGGGTTTTTTATTTTTTATTTTTTTGGTCTTTTTTCCATTTGTTCTTCATCCTGACCTTTTTTTCTTCTTATTTTTTTCTTTTTCTCTTTCCTTACATCCCAAATTTTAATTTTTCCCTTTCTTAGCCTCATTTTTGTTCCTCACTGTTAGTATTCCCTCTCCCTCTATCATTTCCAAATTACTTCCTTTTCCTCTAAATATCTCTTAGATTTTACTTTGTTTCTCTTTTCCCTCTTATTACCATACCACCTATATTAATTTTAGGTCATTTGTTGTTGATAGTACTGTGGTGGATCTTTCTCTCCAATTTGGCTCCTAAATTTTTATTAATTATTTATTTTTCCTTCTGGGACTTCTGGCAAGATGGAGGCATAGGTGGATGTACCGTACCTCCACACACAACCAAGATTAGAACAACAACAGTTTAGAGGCAGAATAACACCCAGAACTGATAGAGAATTTATCTGAATGGAAGTCGGACAGCCAAGAAGTTGAAGTAGACCAGTTCATCCAGACCAGTAGGAGGGGTGGAGAGGAGCAGCCGGGCACAGGTCGAGGCGTGCGGAGAACAGGTAGAACTGGGCGCCAGGCACCCGGGAGCACGTAAAGCATCCGGGGCATGCAAGATCACAGTGGGTGGACCTTGACTATGCAAGCGGCAGCTGGTGGACCCAGTGAGGCGGTGATTGTGGACCAGGGCAGAACGCGCAACCCAGGATCCCAGGGAAGAGACTGAGGCCCCAGGAAACGGAGCTACTGCCATTGTTCCCTCCTGCCCCTGCCCCCACATACAACATCACAATCTAGCGACTGGGGTGCCCAGCTCTGGTGAACACCTAAGGCTCCGCCCCTCACCATAACAGGAGCGACCAGACCAAAAATAAAAAGAGAGAGAGAGAGAGAGAGAGAGAGAGAGAGAGAGAGAGAGAGAGAGAGAGAGAGAGAGAGACATGTCTCAAACAGAAAAACAGATCAATGGCCCAGGGCTCATCCTTTTGAGCGACCAAGAGATAGCCAATCTATCAGATGCACAGTTCAAAACACTGGTAATCAGGAAGCTCACAGAATTGGTTGATTTTGGGCACAAATTAAATGAAAAAATGCAGGTTACCATAAAAGAAATGAAGGAAGATGCATGGAGAACCAATAGTGATGGGAAGGAAATTAGGACTCAGAACAATAGAGTGGACCAGAAGGAAGAAAAAAAACCAACCAAACAGAAAAGAATGAAGAAATAAGAATTCAAAAAAAAAATGAGGAGAACCTTAGGAACCTCCAGGACATCTTTAAACATTCCAACATCCGAATTATAGGGGTACCAAAAGGGGAAGAGGAAAAGCAACAGATTGAGCACGTATTTGAACAAATAATAAAGAACTTCCCCATTCTGGCAAAGGAAATAGACCTCCAGGAAATCCAGGAAGCTCAGAGAGCCCCAAAGAAGTTGGACCCAAGAAGAAACACCACAAGGCAGAGCATAATTACATTAGCCAAGGTAAAAATGAAGGAGAGAATCCTAGAAGCAGCAAGGGATAAGGGGACAGTAACCTACAAAGGAGTTCCCATCAGACTGTCAGCTGATTTCTCAAAAGAGACCTTACAGGCAAAAAGGGGCTAGAAAGAAATATTCCAAGTCATGAAAGACAAGGACCTATATCCCAGATTACTCTATCCAGCAAAGCTTTCATTTAGAATGGAAGGGCAGCTAAAGTGCTTCTCAGATAAGGTCAAGTTAAAGGAGTTCATCATCACCAAGCCCTTATTTTATGAAATGTTAAAGGAACTTACCTAAGAAAAGAAGATTAAAAGAAAAACATGTATAGTAAAAGGACAAAACTCACAGTTATTAACAACCACACTTAAAGCCAGACCAAAGGAAATTAAGCAAACAACTAGAAGAGGAACAGAACCACAGAAATGGAGATCACATGGAAGGTTAGCAACAGGGGAGTGGGAGGAGGAGAAAGGGGAAAAAGGTATAGAGAATAAATAGCATAGATTGTAGGTTGAAAATAGATAGGGGGAGGGTAAGAATAGTATGGGAAATGTAGAAGCTAAAGAACTTATAAGTTCTTTACTCATGGACATGAGTAAAGGGGGGGTATGGGTAGGAGAGGGTGTACAGGGTGCAGGGGAGTGAAGGGGGAAAGTGGGACAACTATAATAGCATAATAAATATAAATATAAATAAATAAATAAATAAATAAATAAATAAAATATATTTTTAAAAATATTTATTTTTCCTCTTTCTCTCTCTCACTTTATTTTATTTTATATTATTTTAATTTCTGTTTAAACCTAATATTATGTTTCCCTTCTCTACTCCATTTCACATTCTTAATTCCCTGTTTTACTCATGATGTAAATTTACCTTCTCTGTTTCCCTTGCTCCAACTCCCAACTCCTATTAGTGCTCCTCCCTCTACCCTCTCAAAATCATTTATCTTTCAGTAGGTCATCTCACATCTGCTCTCCTTTCTTATATAGTCTTAAATTCTTTACACCATTATTAATACTGGTTCATTTACTGTTGATAGTGGGATTGTGGGGGGTAGTCATTTTTGTGGCTATAAGTTTCTTTCCTAGGCCTTGTGGTTTTATTTTGGCAATACCTGCACAACGTCACACAAGACATGGTGGGTTGAGTGACCCCCAGGCAACCAGCTAAAGGGAAGGACCAACCAAAGAAAGATACAACAACAACCAACCCAATTACATCCAGAGAACCAGCATAAAGGGCATCCCAAGAGCATCAAGTGCAGGTGACCAAGGAGACTACACTACTGAATCTCACAGGCCTCCTACCATAGATGTTCACACCAGTGAAAATAGATCAATTTAAGAAACAGGAGCAAACAAGAAGAGTCTCACAAAAAAATGGGAAGACAAAGAAAAAACCCTAATCTAAAGGAAAGGAAGAATCCTCAAAAAGAATGCTAAATGAAATAGAGGCAAATCAACTATCAGATATTCAGTTCAAAACAAGGGCTATAAGAAAGCTCAATGAGCTCAGTGCAAATTACCAAACACTACAGAGAAACTACAAGGAACTTACTGGAAACTATATCAGCAGAAAAAAGGACATAGAAACAATCAACAAGGGTCAAGAAGAAATGAAGAATACAATTTCTGAATTGAAGAACACAGTAGAAGGGATCAAAATCAGACTAGATGAAGCAGAAGATCAAATCAATGCGCTGGAAGACAAGGGAGAAAAAAACTCCCAAAAAGAGCAAGAAAAGGAAAAAAGACTAAAAAAGAACAAAGATGCTTAAGGGGACTGCAGGACAACATGAAAACAAATAGTATCTGTATAATAGGGATATCAAAGGAGAAGAAGAGGAGCAAGAGATGGAAAAATTGTTTGGAAGACTTCCCTAACTTGACAGAACAAACAAGTCCAGGAAGCAGAGAGGGTCCCAATAAAGAGAAACCCAAGGAGGCCCACTCCAAGACATTATAAATACAATGGCACAATTTTTAAAAAATGACAGAACCTTAAGGGCAGCAAGGGAGAAATAGGAAGTGACATACAAGGGAACCCCAATAAGGCTAACAGATGACTTCTCAACAGAAACATTACAAGCCAAAAGAGACTGGCAAGAATATTCCAACTAATGAAAAGCAAAGGTCTGCAACCAAGACTACTCTATTCAGCAAGGCTCTTGATTAAAATGGAAGGCCAAATAAGGAGACTCCCAGACAAAAGAAGGCTAAAAGAATACACCTCCAACCAAACCAGCATTACAGGATATGCTAAATGGACTGCTTTCAGAAAAAGAAAAAGAGTGAGAGAGAGAGAGGAGCAAAGGTACAGAGGGATAAAATGGCAATGGAAAAGTACCTATCAATAATAATCTTAAATGTAAATGGA